TCTCTCTCTATCTATCTATTTATCTATTTATCTATCTGTCTATTTATCTATCTATCTATCAATCTATTTATCTATATGTCTATTTATCTATCTATTTATCTATCTATATGTCTATTTATCTATCTCTCTCTCTCTCTCTCTCTCTCTCTCTCTCTCTCTCTCTCTCTCTATATATATATATATATATATATATATATTATATATATATATATATATATATATATATATATATATATATATTATATATATATATATGTATATATATACATATATATACATATATATATATATATATATATATATATATATATACATATGTATACATATATATACGTATATATATACATTTATGTATATATATGTATAAGTATGTATATAATATATATGTATAAGTATGTATATAATATATATGTATATGTATGTATATAATATATATGTATATGTATGCATATAATATATATGTATATGTATATATATACATATATATATACATAATGTGTAATATATATATATATATATATATATATATATATATATATATATATATATATATATATATATATATATATATATATATATATGTTCATGTATATGTATATGTATATGTTCATGTATATGTATATGTATGTATGTATGTGTGTATGTATGTATATATGTATATATGTATATATGTATATATATATATATATATATATATATATATATATATATATATATATATATATATATATATATTATATATATATATATAACAGCAACAATAGTAATTATAGTATTAACCGAAGGTTTATTTACTGTCCCCTTTATATTTTATTGAGTTTTGTTACATACAGATGGCTCCACATGTGCTCAGCAGCAAGGAGTCTATCAGTTGGCCCTAGTGACCGATCCTGATTTCCCCATTCCTTGAATAGGTGGTAAAATGTGTTTTTCTTTTGAATACTATTGATATTGATATTATGATTATTAAATTGTTATTGAAATATAAATAACATCGAAGACAATAAAATGATAGAATTGAAGCTTTGAAAAAGTAAAGGAAAAGGGTAAACAGATGAGATAGGTAAGACTAATAGCAGACTCCTTGGTGACTAAGTGCTTGTAGAGCCATGTATGTGTAAAGATAATATATAAAAATTTTATTACAGTAGGCATGACATTGTAGTCTTGCTACCCATGCTCATTGGGTTAATAGTGATAGTTAAAGTCATGATAATACTTATGATGAATAATATTGTAATGATAAGAAACGTAATTGGGAACTTCAAGACATATGCACAAAAGCAGAGAATACACACCTTGTTGTCCACCATATGGTCCCAAGAATCAGATCACACTAGGAAGGAATTGGTCTAAGTAATGTAGCTCATGCCAATACCACCACTTTCCTTTCAGAATAAAATTGAAGTGGGGGATGTTATAGATGAAGCATTTGGCATATGCATTAATGGGTGGCGAAGGGGGCGTGTCACAGCTCTTTTGCGGCAGAAGAGGGGGCTTCCAGTGACGCTTAAGGTCATTAAGGTCAGTGAGTTTAGTATGTTTTTTTTTTTTTTTTTGACTGGTTTTCCACATATTCTTTATGAGAAAAGTGACTAGAAATATGTACCCTGTTTGATGGAAAGAAGAAAGGGCAGCTAAAAAAAAGTGCTGTATTTATCTTTTCATTTATTATTATTATTTTTTTCATTTTGTTTATTTATGTTTATTTAAATATTTATTTACTTTCTTTTCTTTTTACTCATTTTATTTATTTTTTAGGGTCACTATCCTAATGGATCTGTCTTCCCTGGGGTCATTCCGCTCCTCCGTCGCCTCCACCTGGATGTGGACAGTCTCCAAGAACGATTTAGGGAAGCTGCGCTCTCTGAGAGTCAGGAGACTTCTTTGACAGGCAGCCACATAGGGTATGTTGAAACAGCAAAACTTGGTCTTTTTCCATTGGAGAACAATGTATTAAGAGGCATTAGTCTTGGCTTGTGTTCAATATCCTACCTATACCAAGCAAGGAACTACTAGGGGAGAGACTGTAACCCTTCTGACACAATAAAGACGATGATCTCAATATATTACCAACACATTAAGATCATGTGTGCTTCCTCTCAGACACTCACATCACAGATCTTTGTCTGTGTATATAGTGTTTGAATATAAGTGGGTTTCTTTGTTCATTCTACCAGGAGTGTATTTATTCCAGGTAAGTAAGAGTTGTTCTACCATGTATGATTTAGGATTAACCCATTTTCCCCATATTTATGTTTTTTTTTTGTTGTTGTTGTTGTTGTTTTTGTTGCTGTTGTTACTGTTGTTGCACACATTGCTCCACAAGTGCTCAGCCACCAAGGAGTCAAGCAGTAGGCCTTTGTGACTGATATATACCTTCCTTGATATTTTTTTTTCTTTCTTTCTTTCTTTTCTTTTTTTTCCCTAAGATAATTACTGATATTACTGTTATTAATATTACTGATATTTTGGTTATTATATCATCCTTAAGATACTAATAGAACAATAGAAGTAATAAATTAAAATAAAAAAAAACAAGGTATACATACATACTACATACATATATATAGATAGATATAGATATAGATACACACACACACGCACACACACACACATACGCGCAAACAAATATTGAGAACCTGTCCTATTTCATCATCAGATTTTTGTATGAGTATTTCTTTACTCCTTTAGAGTGTGAGAATATCCTCCTCACTCTCAGAGATAAATCAGTGATTTTTGATTTATTGTAACATGTTTGTAATTTCATAAGCCATATTTTCTGGATTATATTTGCAAAAGTTTACTTTTCAGGACACCTGGTGGTGCAGTGACTTTGCCATTCACAATGCCATATCTCTGTTCTTTCACTCTGCAATTGCTGTCATTTATCTATTTATAAGCATTTGGCAGCAGAAGTTTCAATAAGCTAGTACTTTTGTTTATCCCAGAATAGCAGTATTGATATTGATAATGCTAAATAGTATAATTTGTGTCATAACAATAAAATACATTAAAATTGCCACTAGCCACCTCCTCCATCTCTGTTACCCTTCACCTAACCCCGTATCTGTTTTACTTTGGATTAGACACATAGAAGTATATACCAGCTTTAAGTGTAGTCAGACTTTTGCTCCATACTGTATATTGACAATTTAGAATCTAATTTGTAAACATATCTTTTTCTTTGATACTTAGTACCATTTTGCCTAACTGAGTTGTAGTTATTTATTGTATTTCATTCATTAATTTTTAGTTTTATTATTTTTTTCTCAGTAATCTCTAGTGATTTATTTTATAAACACCTGTAATGGTATGAACATTATATCCAGAGATCAGGATTTATTTTCATCTCTCTCAAAATCATGTCTGTACCAGAATGCCAACATTTTTTGCTTGGCACCCCTAAAGGTAGAAAAATATTTTGGGTTTATTCATTAACCCATTGCTGCAGGTAAATGTAGTCAACTGTAATTATATATGAATTCTGTCTGCACAGATAGCATTACAAGTGCTAAACTACCAAGGAGTCAATTAGTAGGCCTCATGATTTCTCTTTTCCTTGAATTTTTTTGGGAAATTTTTTTATTTCTGTTATTATTATCATTGACATTATGATTATTATAATGCTATTCAAATGCTAATACCGACAAGAAAATGAAAAAAGAATCTTTACAAAAAATAGGGCAAGATAGGTAAGGACTAGTAATTTACTCCTTGGTGACTAGGCTCTTGTGGAGCCAACTACAGGTGTGTAGGAAGTGTGTAGGAGACATTACTGTTAGTCAACTCAGGTTTCAGGTAGTCACCTAATTGCAAGAACAATACAGAATTAACATTTTTATTACCAAAATGGAAGAAGTCACTATATAGTATGTTTTATATTTTTACTTAGTATATTTGGGATCTTTATTTCAGGGGTCAAACAGTGCAGTACATGGGCAGTGTATCAGTTGGAGGATGCGGAGATGTCTCACAAATAGAACATGCTGTAATGGCAGTGTCTAGTCAGAACAGACAGTCAGTTCCTGTCATCCTCATAACTGGGGAGATTGGCGTTCAGACATTACTGAAGACTAATCGAAAGGTAAACTTTATAAGTGCATTACCTTAGCTGGAAGGAGTATAATATATGAAACAGTTATATAAGCTTCCTGTTACTTAGTTTTAGTGATTTCTTATTTTTTCTTCTTACCACTTTTGATTCCTCTCCTCCTCCTTCTTCTCATTCTCCTCCCCCTCCTCCTCCTCCCCCTCCCCCCCCTCCTCCTCCTCCTCCCCCTCTTCCCCCTACTCCTCCCCCCCTCTTCCCCCTCATCCTCCCCGCCTCCTCCTCCCTCCTCCCTCCTCCTCCCCCTCTACCTCCACCTCCTCATACTAATCCTAATCCTCCTCACCTCCCTCATCCTCACCCTCACCCTCACCCTCCTCCAAAAAAAAATATTCTTAAATAGAAAGGACCATTTGTAATTGTTTGATTATTGCTATACTTAATATATATTTTACAAATTTTCTCTTTGTTTATTGAGGTTATCTTTCCAGATGGTGTTAAGTCATAGTTACACTGAAATATCATCATGTGGTAGGAGAAATGACATGCCTGATTATTTTGCATATATTGCAGGGTAAGTTATCTTGGCCAGGAGAATTCATCTTGAGTATAATGCAGTATATTTGAGATTATGTATAAAAGACACTGTAACTATTATGAAAAGATTTTGTTTTTTTTTCTTTCAGGGATACAAGTTGCACCATATCATCACATTTTACATGCTATGTATTCAAAGCAGTATCTGTGGACCAGGTAAGATATCCCAAGATTTAAAGCAGGAAGGGATAGGATTAGGATTTTCAATGTAAAGATTAGTTTATTTTATTTATTTTATTTTATTTATTTTATTTTTTTTATTTATTTATTTTTTACTCTGTACACATAATTTAAATAAGCTTTGGCTAAGTTAAGATAGACCAGCAGTTCTTAGTCAGTGGTCTGCAGATCATGGTTTGCACAGACTTTTGTAAGGGGAGGGGCTCAGTTGAAAGAAAAGCATGCCCTTGATTGAATGGGCACTTTACTCTCCTTAATTTTAATTAATATGATACTTCTGATTTGAAGAAGACTAGAGACAGGGGCACTGCTATCCCTTTGTGCATGTACCCGGTTACAAGCTCAAGGGAGTTACTGTAAAAGGGCCTAAGAGCTAAGACTCAGATTTCTTCATTGTGGAACTGCTATTTCCTACCACACTGCCTGTAGAGAAGTAACTATAAATGAATAGATAAATTCCAATTTAACCCATTGCCGCCGGGGATGGCATGTACGTATATGCCATGCCCACTGTGAGTCGACTTGTTTGATTGTTTATACACATAGATGGCTACACTTGTACTAAGTCACCAATGAGCCAATTACAGTACTGCCTGTCTCGCCCGTTCACCCTTTTCATCGATTTACGAAAATATACTTTGCAATAAAAAGGTACAGCTATTCTTTAATTGCATTACCTGTTCATGTAGTTCAGACCCAATTTAAATTAAGATATCTTTCCATCTCTGCTATCTATTTTGAGCTATAACCAATTTTTATTGTTGACCCAATTCTGCCTGGAAAATGTAATGTTCCTGCAGTATTGTTTTGTGAAATAGATGGCTCCACTAGTGTTCAGGCACCAAGGAGTCAGTAGACCTCATAGTCTCACCTGATTTCACCTCTCTGTCTGTACTGCCATCCCTGGTAGCATTTGGGCTACAAAGGATTTAGACTGAAAATGTGTAAACTGAATTGCTTTGGTCAGAGCCAATGTTATATCTGATTCAGAAGTGTGAACCTAAAAGAATGAAGAGTAAGCTGCCTAATTCATTAAAGAAATTTTATTTTAGAGGAGCTTTTGAACTAGGAGACCAATCTTTACATTTAAGTTTTATTTTGTATAATTGTCTGTAAACTGTATTTAAGAATGGTGTATACAAATGTTCATTGCAATATATCGAATATAGATGTGTTTGTCACTGAAACAGCTATTTTAAACTGATTAGTTTCTGCTCCCTTAAGTTCTAGTATCAAGATTATAGCAGTCTGGTATGATTACTTAACCCAAATCCAATGGGCATGGCATGTACATACATGCCATGCCCACTGTTAGTTTACCTAATTAATTGTTTTTATACATAGATGGCTAACAATGAGCCATTTACGAGTACTGCCTATCTTGCCTATTTACCCTTTTCCTTGATTTTTAAAAATATTTAACATTATCTTATATTCCTGTTACTAATATAACATAGTAATTATAATGTCTATAATAAAAATAACACCATCATTATTCATATCATTAGTAAAAAATAAGTTTTTCCTATCAGTTCAAGGAAAGGTGAAATCAGGCAAGGTCACAAGGTTTACTTATTGAAGCACAGCATTTTCCCAGCGACATTGAATTAACCCATTACCGACGCGAAAAATGAATAAAAAAGGGGGGAAAATGCTGTGCTCATTTTTAAATTTTTTGTGAAATGTCTCTGTGCACAGATGGCTCTGCTAGTGCTTACCTACAAAGGAGTTAATTAGTAGATCTTGTGACCTTACCTGATTTCACCCTTCCGTGAATTTACTAGTGCTATGAATATCAATATTTTTATTATAAACATTATCATTACTCTAATGTTATAAACATTGGTAATAGCAAAATAAGATCACGTAAAATATTTTCATAAATCAACGAACAGGTGAGACCAGCAGTACTCATAATTGGCTCACTGGTGACTTAGTACAAGTGTAGCCATCTATGTGTAAAAATAATTAAACAAGTAAACTCACAGTGGGCATGGTATGTACATACATGCCATGCCCATCAGCAATGGGTTAACAGCCAAACTCCTAAGGCCTAAGGTCTGGATTCAGGTCCACATGCAGAGGTCATAAAGCACCAGGATCCAACAGGTGTAACCTTACAGACAAGGATTTAGCAACCTCACCTTGCAGCCCAGCTGCAGAGAGAGAGAGAGATGAGGAGGAAGAGAGAGAGAGATGAGGAAGAGAGAGAGAGATAGATGAGGAGGAAGAGAGAGATAGATGAGGAGGAAGAGAGAGAGATAGATGAGGAGGAAGAGAGAGAGATAGATGAGGAAGAGAGAGAGAGAGATAGATGCAGCTGGGGATAGCTGCAGAGAGAGAGAGAGAGAGTAAATAATAAATAATAATTAAATAATTTAGTTTGATTCCAATTGTTACAATGGATATTCTTGGTGTGACATACTGTTTTATTTTGCTTCTAAATTAACCCATGTGCAAGGAATGGCCGGGGTTACCATCCACTGGTGGCGAGGGATTCGAACGCAGGTCAGCAAGATTGCTAGACGAGATCGCTACCGCTGGACCAAACAGCACAGAGAGAGAGAGAGATGAGGAAGAGAGAGATAGAGATGAGGAGGAAGAGAGAGAGAGATAGATGAGGAGGAAGAGAGAGAGATAGATGAGGAGGAAGAGAGAGATAGATGAGGAAG